CGCGATGGCCTGGCGATTAGCCCCGACGGGGTGACGCGACCGACGACCTCGGATCGCTCGGGCTGTGGACGAGGACCAGAAGAATCTGTCGTCTGTTGCCGTCGTCCGTTTCATATCCGGTGACGATAGCGAAGCTGATGGAAGAGAATTCACTACACTGATCGGCTAATAGTTTGTTGCGCTCTGCGTTCTTATCAGTAGGGGAATTCCACGCCTTCACGGGACGAGACGGAGCTGATAAAGCACACTTAGCAGCATTCCACGCCGTTGTGAGCGAAGAGGACGTGCTCTCTGTTATTGCAACAAATCGTTCGATTTCAGATCGGTTCAAAGGGCAAACGAAATGCCTAAAAGGCTCCGCGTCCTGAAGGCACCGCTAGTGGTTCAATGGCAACAAAGAGGTCTGGGAATGCCGCAGAGTAGCTACAAGCATTCAATATGGTAAAAAAATAGATATTGCATTTGATTTGGGCCCCGAGGAATGGGTCCAAATGACACATTGGCAACAAGGCAATAGAATGCTTGGGCTGACGAAGTGCTTAGTGGCGCTCAAGAAATTCAATCTATTCCACCACCGTCAGTACGGTTGACCGCGCCGTTTGGTTAGAAGAGTTTTTGGAGTTTCAAGACTGAATGGCTAAAGAAACAAAAAAAGGCCGGTCAAGGTCTTGAACTTGAGCGACCAGTGATTGCTGAACGAACGCAGAGAAGCGAGGGTAGTCCGACGAGAATCGCGTGACATCTGGAACACTGCTGTTGCTGCTGCTGCTAGACGGACAACGGTCTCGATTATCAGAAACGGGGAGAAATTTGCTGAATGACATTTTTGGAGATCTGATAATAGAAGATAAGGGAGCAAAGGGTGTCGAGAGAGAGCTGTAGAGGGGCTCTCGATTGGAGAGGGTATTGAAACTCGGGTGAATTGACGTAACGGACCGCTAAGGGCTGAGTTGTGCAGACTAAAGGGGAGAAGGACGAAACGCCGACGTCCGACAAGTGAGTGACCAAACAAACGCCAACAAATACGGAAGTTCCGTCAATAGTTGTCATAAGCAAACATTAGAAGTTCATAGATACACGAAGAACTTTAGGCTACCGATCAGTTGGCGATACTAAGCGGAGAAGGGACTTATTTAGCTGAGAATAGGCAAAATGTGAAAGGAACAAGTTGAAAAAGTTTGTCGGGAAATCTCCTTGGTTTGATAAATAGACGCCAAGAGAAACGGAGGGATGGCACGGAGCAACTCAGGGCGGCATCCGCCGCGATCTCGATCGAAGTTTGCAAACATGCGACAAGTTCAGGAGCTCGGCGCGAGGGGTTAATACGTCGAGCAGTTTTTTCCCTTCACAAATCAAGGAGAAGCTGCCGCAAATAGTACCGCTCAGAAGAAAAGTGACACGCCCTAGACCGGGTCAAAGATTGCTGATCTCCTGTGTCCTAGTTCTAGCTCTGTTGGTTGACAAGCAGTTGAGCTCCAGAACCAGAAAACTACTGAACATCTGAAAATTCAGGAAAAAGTGGAGCTGTGCTGCTCTAGCAAGCTGAAAAATGTACCATGCACCTTGAAGTTGGAGACAAAATCTCCGCTTTCAAAGGGCAAAGAACATCGAACAGTCAGTCATTGTGGAATGTACGAAGCAATGGTCATCATCTGAAGGAAATACCAATAGAGCCCTTCTCCCAGAAAATCTAGCTAGGAACGTCCAGCAGGTTGATTTTTTAGATTTCTGAGGCCATAAGCACCTTACTGTTCCACGGCAGAATAACTTGCTAGGAAACTCCTAAGTTAGATCCCTTCAAAAGAATATTCCACGCTGGCGCTTTCATGAGATGACAGGCGCACGGCGCATTCCTCAATGACGGTTGGAGATCGAACTGGTCCTCTTCCTGATTACATTTTCATGGACTATTAAAAATGCAAAAATAGATGCACATTTATTAAATGAGTAGCTTTTCAAGCGGCCGATTGAGCTCCCATTGGGTTAAAAAGTCCAGTGAACTTACTGATTGAAAAGTATAATGCGGTCATAGAATCCATTTTAATAACCCGTAGGAAACGATAAAACCGGTTGAAAGAGGCAATGCCGGGAAAGAAAAGTTCAAATAAGACAGTAAATCGATCTTGATCATGTAACCTGAGCAACTCCCAGCGGGTAAACCTGTAATGTTTCAATCAGCATATCCCATCGGTCTGGAGTCCCAGTTGTAACGTCTTGAAACAGTCCATTCTATTCTATGGCTTCGACTGGCATCAGTCAATCAACCAGCCAGTCCGTCAACACTATCGCCGCCTTGAGGTTATCGTTGTTGGGTGGAAACGTCGACGATAAGGTGGACAGGCAGAAAGAGCCACGGCTGTCACAAGCCTCTTGAAGCACTGGTGGGAATTCCTTTGCGGATAGCAGCTTACCAGAGCGGATCGCTTTCTGTCCTTGATTTTTCGTCGCGTCGAATTGCGAATGAACGTCGAGAGTCGAAACAGGCACAGTTAGTATTGTACTTGAGGATTGTGTGTGTGGGGCAGAGATACTGGTTCCACTTCTCGCTTTCGCCTGCCTCTATTTTCTACACTACCAGTTTTGCCAGGAACGGGTTGTCAAATGGCCCGAGTCGCCCCCAATACAAAACGACGATGACGACGACAGTGGCGGAAGGAATGATGATGAAGGAGTGATGATGAAGATCGGGAAGGAACAGAACCCAAAACACCTCACGATTTCTCCCACTTGATCATTAGTGGGAGTGAGCGTACTTCCCCTCAAAGGCGATATCGTTAGAAACGGCAGGAGGGGCTAGGGAACATTCAACTTCAAGCCTCTAAGGAGACCACGAGTTGCTCTAGAAACCGAGTAATGTCCCAATTGTTAACTGATGGATCTCCTTAATCAGGTTGATAAGGAAGGGTGGTCTAAGATGTTGATAGGGCTAAGGCTTGGCAGTAGTGAAGGAACAAGCTTGAAGAGGTCATGATAGGGAAGGGGTTCAACAAAGGAGGCGTGGAGAGGTTAAGAAACTGAGAAGATGCAAATGAACGAGTGCTCGACACGGGATGCGGGCGGTGTTATGACAAAGGTCAAATGTAATAGGGGGAAGTGGCGACCTTGTAGAGACCGGATCCTGACTGGTGCGGACTGGCGCCAACGAGAGCGGCAGAATTAGAGATGCAGAGACAATAGATGCAGGTATCAGACGAGTACCAGCGATGCATGCAGAGAGGCCGGTAGCTGTGTGATCGTCGAGAGAGGTCCTCCGACGGAGGTCGTCCCTGCCCAAACCCCATCTTCGTTGTCACTCGCTTAAACAGTAAACGAACTACTTCAATCCCATTGTCCTTTTCCATTCGCATCCCATAGCCATGCAGGAATCTTTGGTGATTCTGAAATGGGACATGGACTTATCATTCTGTCAATTTGTTACCATCACCTACGGACGCACACCGGTTTTTCGAACGCTGCACAATGGTAGTTGATAGATTTGAGAACTACAGATGACGGGAAAAAGGGCAGCGTTTAATAGTCATTGCTGTGGAGCTCTATCCGGTTTTCTACAACCGATGAACTCTCAAGATCTGAAATCGATGAACATTGGCATTATGGTAAAGGGAGACATGCTATGGCCTTCAATATAAGCTATAAAGGTCGCAAATCGACAATTCAAACCGCTGCAAACTTCTCATTGACGATTAGCCTTCGGCCGGTGCACTCTGAGGAGAATGACCTCCTTCAAGGTGACTGCCGACTCGTTCCTGCTGACCCTCTCCGACACCTCTGTAGGCGGTCGTCCGCAATCGGTTGCATATTCGAGTAAAGTACATGTCCCTCCCGTTCATTCCTCCTCGGTCACTTAACTCATCCCTAGCTACCTAATGCTTGAGGATCACAGCTGCAGAGTTGGGGGGACAAGATACTAATGCAGCATTCGTTTTTTGACTATGACTCCTTCAACACCTCGGCTAACCACGGCTGGAGCGTCCTCCGTAGGGTAGTTGATGGGGTCGTCGGGCGAGGCGACTCGCCACGACAAAAAGTGTCTCCTCGTCGCCGTCGTCGTGGAAAAATGCGCATTGGACGCAAAAATGCGTGTGGCGCGTATTCAGACGTGAGGTCAGACTCGGCCGGTGCCTGGTGCGATGTACGACAACCACCACCCGAAACCGGTTTGCGCGCAAGAGCAATCGAGTCACGCAACACACGCCTCGGTTGCACGTCTGGGGATGCACGAGCTGTTGTAGCTCACTGCTAGGGAGCAGGACTTATTGGAACCATACAGTCGCTTCCCATAAGTGCGAGTCTCAGTCGGGATTCTGCAGGGATTCATCAGACCAAGTTAGTTAGAGTGAGCCCTGCATTATGCCCAACGGTGGTAGATTGGCCAGCGGCTGCTGCGTGAGAGCGATCAACTAATATGACGAGAGTGAGCCAGTTCTTCCGTTATTCTGTTTGATAGACGTGTGGGTTCGTAACCGTCACTGGCAGCCGGCAGCAGCCTGTAACTGGTTCTCATTTTCTATCTCTCACTCGTGCGCGCTGCTAAAAGGTACACCATGTGAGATGTGAAAAGCAAAGACGAGTCAACTACTCTCTTAAGAAACGATTTCGGAGCTGGGTTCTTAGGTCGTTAATTTACCCGGGGAATGGCGTCATCAAAGAGGTAATGTAAGTCAAAACTGGTAAGTAGTGTGCTTTATAGCACTTATGAGGGTTGGTACTCCAGCCGCATGATGAGGGTATGATGATTTTCTAAAGGAAACCGAAACAATAACAAACAAAGTCGGTCTACCTCTGACGGACCCAAAGAACTTCGAGTGACGGCATGGGGATGCAACCACTGCTCAGCCAGCTTTCCGTAAAACTCCTGGGCACCTTTGAATTCACGTCCCTCACCAATGATTGTGGCTGGTACGGCTTCATTTTCGGAGTTTTGAGTGGCCCTTACATACAATGTGACTGCATACATTGACTGAGAAGCAGCTGTTCCCATACGACCAAAGGACACCCCTTAGGACTGAGATCCATGGTGCGAAATCGGAAAGAAATCGCGCAAAGCACCAGTACCCATTCGATTTTATTGGTATCAAGATAGTAGAGGAGCTTAACAAGGCCGTTCCTAATCTCCTTAGTACATCGGAGCCTCAGGCCCTAGTATTGTCTTTCCAACTACGAATTGTATTGCACAATGGCTTCTCCAGAAGCCGAACCCCAAAAGGAAGAGAACCATCCCTCCGAGCATGATCTCTGTGAGGAAAGAATGCAACGTCACCTTCAGGACAGCGACTCACCAAACAAAGAATTCGACGAAACATGTCCTTCATTTGAAACCTTTTGCCCTTTGTCCAGTTCAAATAGTCTGACCGCTATCGACAACGTCTCTACGGTAATCGACGAAGGCCAACTGTGCAAGGAATTGCAACGTCGTTGACTATTGGCGATTTTGACGTTCGAAAAGCCGAAAAAATCAGACAACATGCAAAAGACGATGGTAATTTGCATGGTAATAAAACAGCATTATGTGTTAGGCAACGACGACGAAATCATTCCCAAAATTGAATATTCAAGACCTCCCTCCTGAGGGTGGCTATAGCAAGCAGTATGTGTAGCTGTAGCTGCAGGAATCGTCTACAAAGATCGCTGAATAAGACGAAATAGCAAGGAGAAGTGTCGAAAGTCGCTAGGTTCTTTGTCAATGGCAATCGAAAAGCAAACATTAGAAGGAAACTATGAAGAGAGAATCGGTTAAAAATAGTCTTAACCTCTCTCTAGAACAGGTCCTGATTGGAACTGAGGGAAACCGGAACACGGTGTTTTATAGCATCAACGCTTCAGTGCTTTCTCGATATTTTACAAGAGCGATTAGCATTCAGAAGCTTATGGCCTAGGTATTTCAAGGGGCAGCGCCAATGATGGCTTGATCCCCCAGGTCCAATTCGATCCTAAGGGAGTGCGCTACCCTTCAACTGGGAAATCGGTTTCTTCTGTGAAAGTTCACAATGAAAGTCTCACAAGGTTGGGATTTGCGGGCAAAACTCCGGTCTTAGACGGGACTCGAACCCGTGCTTGTGCTTTACGGGCCTTGCGCTCTTTATCTCTTACATTGCCGGGGCTCCGCTTGCTCTCGCCTTCTTAATGGCTCATATGTCACAGCTTATAAGCACTCAAATGTACCACGTGGTGAGCTGGGTTCGAGTTTTGTCCGAGGCCAAAGTTTTGCCCTCAAATCGCCGACTTTGTAGGGCTTTCGTATAGCGTACTGCGGCGAAATAACAGCAGCTAACAAGAACATCAAGTCATAATAAGGGATCTTCCGAAAAAGTCTCAAAGCGTTCTCCGAGATCCTGAATCATGGCCTCGTAGGGAGGGGGGCATGATCAAGGACCCCTGAGAACGCTTAGAGCTCAAGCGATCGGGTATCCAGTCACTTTAACTTTTCAATCACGGTAAGCCTGTTCAATTCGTAACAGTTCATTATCTCACGATATCATGATTATTGAACGGTTTGGGAGTGCGCATGACTGGGCCGGTACCGTGAACCGATCACTAAGTTCTCCTGAATGATACTGTAAACTTGACCTTTTTTCCTGAACTAGAATGGGGCATAGGAAGTAGGCAAACTTACTGACGGAACGTGTCATAACTGTGCTCTGTTGAGTCATAGAGAAAATGCTTTCGATTAAAGTTATTATACAGTGATAACAGACAGTAGTTAGTGATAGTAGTTAGTCCGATAGTGAAACTAATTGAACAATGCTCACATTGCTCCATAAAAAAAACGTAGTCTGATTAGAAAGAACTTTCAACCCTTCACAGGACATTCGCTTCCAAACCACATGCCTCAAAAAATTTTACAGCCCAGCTGATCGAAAGCGATATCAAATCAACAAAGGAAAAAAGTACCATGTGAAAGACGTTTTGGGGTTTTTACCCGTGGTCACCCTATTTGGGTACTTTGTAGTCAAGTTAGTGCTGCCCAGGTCCTGGGAAGCTCCCCCATTAAAGAATATTTATGATTAGGAATATATCAAGACATATTGACAGCGGTAAGGAGCAGTTGACAGCTCCATAAAGTGCTCAGATGAGGAAAGGGGTCCAGGGAAGAGAGACGAACGGAATCGTTATCACTGGGTCTGGGAAGAGAACTAAAGAGCTCAGCCTGGAAGGTCCTGGAGGGCGACCAAGCTTGGGTCTAACCTCTTAATGAGACAGTTTTGGTGCAGGCGTGGGCGGCTAGAATAGGAATGGGATTTGTAATCAATTGCCCTAAACCCTTAAAGGTTGGTAAAAGGATACAAAGCAAATCGAAGTAAGCGTAGGTAAACAGCTTGAGGATACTGTAATCACTTGATTTGCAAAAATAAATCCAGCCCCGAAAGATACCTTACCAAATTTTTGTTTACCCACTGGATATGTCTGAGGTAATGGATCGAGGGCGGGTTGGATTCAACCCGGTTGGGAAATGGGGTTCTGAAATGGATGAACTGAGCTCCAGTTCATCGGATGCCAAATAGCAGCGATAGTTGAAGTGGTGAGTGGTAGCGGCGTCGGGGTGATGATGGCGGGAGTGTTGCGTGAGCGTGCGATCCAGTTCTCGAGTCTGTTATGCAATCGCGTAGATAACTGGTTATCATTTACATAGTGGTAGGATTAACCCCTGCCCTCGATGTTTTGTTGGGGGAAACACTCCTTGCACCTCCCCCCTCCTCCATCACCATCACCACCACCACCACCACAATAACATCAGTTCACCAAGAAAAGGAGCAAGTTCACCCACTCACTCAGTCATGTGATATGAGTAGTGCTTTTTAGTAGCCATAGCCGTTGTGCTACTGTGACTCACTGCACGTAATTACTAGTAACAGAGGCTGGTTCATGATAAAAGGGTAAGTAAACACAATTTTACGTCGTTGTTTATGCGGGGGTTAAAATTTGGGGGATTTTATACGGTATCCCAAGATAACCAAAGGCTTCGGAGTATCTCCTACTGTCTAGGGATATAGATATTCCTAGATAGTAGGGATACAGTAGTTATTATCAAAATCAAATCAATCCATTCCGGCAGATGTTCTTTGGTTATTTGGCTTTCTTCTCAGTCGCTAGCACACCAGACCCGAGTTGATCAAAGAAAAACTCATTGAAAAGCCAAACGAGTTCGCTGTCCTGGACGTTTTGTTGTTGTTTACTTGTAAATAATCAAAGTAACTTCAAAAAAAGGACAACTCTTGAGGCGTTATAGATTCCGCTTGAGGGATACGCCCACACCTTCGACTTCCATTCAGAATCGCTATGGCGCATTGATGCGTATGTGGCCCACACAATGAATTGCGATGGCCAGCCGATGTACAAATCGGTGCTTTTCTCTTCCCAGACGAGTATGGTACCAGCTAACAGACCCCGGAACAAAGGAAGGCTTTGTTGGCCTGGGCGAATACCGATCCGGGATAGTCGATTACATTGGGATACGGGGTCCGCAATCATTACAACTGAGAAATTTCACAAACTACAATCCAGAAAGGAGCAAAGTGGGGTGATATGGAGGCATAAGGAATTGGGAAAAGTACTGACTACCTGAAAGATAGATAAGGTATTCCTAGGGATTCCAATGGATACATGTTCGCTATAGGCAGTGGGTAGGTGGGAAGGCTGCCTTCGGATTGAGGGTTAGCCTTACCCAATTCTTTTCAGTTGGACATTTTTATTCCATTTTTTCAGTATGTTTTTATGAAAACCGAAGTTCAATAAACACAACATAAGGGCAAATAGTACAGCTCAATCTCTGTTTTTCCGAATTCTCAGTGAATTTGAATATTTTGCAGTCCACTATTCGGGTCTTTGCACCCTAAAGTCCTTTGAAACGTAAATGACTATAGCGCTGCAGATGAAAAACGAGATAAAAAGGTTTGTCTATTAAATTTGGGCTACAGGACGTATTCAAAGTGAAAAATGCTTTTCAACTGTTCATTTTTTTCGGAATCGGAGATGACTTGATAAGCCGTACTGATAAGGTTCACAGACATCGATCGCGGAACATCAATGTAGCACAGGTTTCCATTTCCATCCACTTGAAGACACAAATTTTTGGGGGAGTGGTTACTTGGGTAAAGTTGGTCAGATGGACCTCTCGGGGCATTTGAATATATCTGCTTCCCTTGTCTTCTACTTTACCAGAAGCGGCGCTACGGCTCTTTCAATGGGGTGGAATCGAACTAAGGTTGACACTCAGAGGAATCAGCACCTTCCCGTATAGGCCTATGAAGCTGTTACAAACTCCTTAAAGATGAGGGTGATTCTAAAAGGTACGGATCTGTGGGTGTTTGACTAGCCTGAGCTCCTGTAAGACGGGAAATCACTTTGATGGAAAGACAGTGGGATTGCCACAGCCCCAGGAAGTTAATCAGGAACATTTACCCTCCGATTTCCCTTCAATCTGCTTGTATTGCATTTGTTAATGACAAGCAGGGCAAACATGTTGCCCCAAACCTCATTGCCTATTCAGCCAGGTAACTGCTGTGTGAAGATGTAGAGCGTGAATGAGGGGTGCCTTGTGCGGGTGTGTGTGTGTGTGTGTTGTCTTTCTTTGTTCAAACAACAAGAATGGTTTTACTGTTGGATCGAACAGTTTCTTTCGAAGGTTTGCGAGTTTTTTTTTTCATCAACGACCGCCCACCAGTGTCTAGGCGACCTCGAAATACGTGTTCTTCGAATGCCACCGTCTCTCAAGCATCGCGCCCTCACCGCCACCCCTGCTGGTTTCCACTGTTGAACGCGTTGAACTTTCGAAAGAAAGAGCGCAGGCACGATTCGATGGCATATTTGAAGGCTGAATGGAAAACCCGATACGAATTGTTTCCGAATTTGGGCATCGGGTAAAGATCAACGTGAGAGTTGCATAGAGCGGACCGGATCCCGAGCCTTCCCGTGGGGATCACCCGTTCGCGGCAAAATTTCAACTGATAATGATCGGCATAATTTACGCTGATCTGCTTGTGCACACAGCTCAACAGCGTTCCGTTTGCCGCCCGAAAGGTCTATAACCCAGGGGCACAGAAATATAGAGGAATTCTGAGGGATAACATTGAGAAATAAATGATGGAAGACCCCTAATATCAAGACTTTCTGGAACTTTGTTTCAAGTACTTGCCAAATTGATTTAACTTACTTCACTTACTAGTAACAAAGGCACATGCCCTATGGGGGGTTTACCCAGGGTAAGTGAGCGGCTGCCGAAATTCTCAATACAGTAACCTGTCAATACATCATAATGTTGCAGTTATAAGTTCCTTATGGATCCGCTTCTCGAAACACTCCATGCGATAGGTTTCAAATCGTTTTGGAAGGAGCTAACCGTGACGAGCTAAATGGGCTAAGGCCTTCGGAAAGAAAATGACCTCCATCGGGTCTTTCAGAAATACCCTTCAAACATCCTCA